CCCCAAAACCCCAAAACCCCAAAACCCCAAAACCCCTTTAAATATTTTAAATATTGAATAATAAAAAGGTAAGAAATATACCATCCATTATTGGTCTTACCATGAAATCTTACTATTAGTGTTAATTCCTCTCCTATAGATCAATGGAGGAAACAAGTAGCTTAAACTCTGAAAGAAAATCTAGTTCCAAATCTAAAAATGAATTAGCCAACTCAAAGGAAGAAATAAGAAATGATAACTTAAAAGGTATTGAAGGAAAGAGTACTGTCGAACATACTTCCTATCTCAAGAGAGTCCCCAAACTTAAAACAGAGATGAATCTTCGGAATAAAATTGCTTATAATCGGGCTGTGAATGTGCTAAAAGTTGAGAAGAAACATGTAATTTCTCATAGTTTCTGAATGATATAGAATAAAGACCTTGAACTATCAAAAGAAATGTACCCTTCTTTTAATCTTTAGCAAGGAATATCATGAGAAAGGAGTCAAGAGAGAAGTTCCAAAGTTTTTAAAAAGAAGTCTGGAGTATTCAAGCGTCTGTAATTACCTTTCCTGTTTGTTTTAGATCTAATAGGTTTGATTAATCATAGATGATGGAAAAATACTTGATGAACCAAAATCAATGACCAGAGAACAACATGCAGAGAACCTCAAAAGGATTAAAGAGTAGTGAATGAGACTTAGGTTTAGATATAATCGAGAACAAGCATTAAGAAGCAGAATAGATAGAGCAGTACAGCAGACTATAAAGAGTAATTAACCTATTAGACTTTAGATATTGACAATCATGCAGAACTTGCACAGAAAGAAAGAGAAGAAAAAGAGTTAAAATTAAAGTAATTAGGTATATTTCAAGAATAGAGAGGAAAAAGAAAGAGAAATACTAAAAATTAAAGGTAAGTTAGTTTTTACATTTACAGAAAATGAAGAGATTAAGGAGAACCAGCAGAATACTATCATTATTAAGAATAAAAATAAACAAAAGAATAAAACAAAGAGAAGCTTAGGGAAATCTAAAACTAAAAATAAAATTAAAGAAGTTCCTCCATATACACAAGCTGAACTGTTAAAATAACAGAAAGAAGGTTCTTTCAAAAATGCCTTTGTTTGAAGCTCTTTACAGAGGAATTACAGGGAAGCCTAAAGCTTGTCCCAAAACTGAGATTCTTGAACCTAAATCAAAGAGTCAGTATAGACCTAGTGTAAAAATTAGGAAGTCTTCTCTTAAAGCTTCGAGAAATATACATATCAGTAGACTTTGGTTAATTTTTAGATGACGATCAACTGAGAGCCAAGACTACTATCAATGATACCAGAGAGAGGTAAGCTACTTTCATCATACTTACAGAAGAGAACTAGAAAAGGAAAGTGAAAAGGAAGTTAAGAATGATATCAAAAAGACCCAATCTTACGTCCAGGTGACTGAAAGATCAAGAATGAAATAAAATGATTCTTGGAAAATACAACCTTGGGAAGATATTTAGCAAGGAAGAGACTTTATCTGACTCTCCCGTAAATGTGACTATCACTAGAGATAAGAAGGAGCATCAAAATCTTACAACTGTCCTTCTCAAGAAGAATACAAAGGTAGTTAATGCTTCGACCTATAGAATTCTCCTGGAAAGGATCATCACTCAAACAAATTGCTGGAGGATTTCTTAAAGTCCAGGTACTTTAAGCAGTATCAGATGGATGCAGGCGAATCTATCTTTTATTCAAAAGCTTCAACTAGTCTTGGTATTATTTTTACTATGTATAGATCAGGAATTGAACACACTTATCAAGTCAAGGTCTTTATCTTACTGTAAGCTGGGATTTCATCATTTGTCAGTTATGGAAATTTAAAAACTTAGCCTTATTTTCGATTTTGTAAAGATTTTAGATTCCTAATTTTTCAACAATTTTTGATTTTTCTTTCACGAGATAATAGCCAGTCTATCTGAAGAATAATAATATGGCACTTAACTCCTTGATTTACATTAAAATCCCAAAATTTCTTAAAAACTGCTCCAAAAACCCTAAAAAAATTTTCAAAAACAGTTTCTTCCTTCCTAAACTTTTCACTCCCACCTTCCTCATTATTCTCCTCCATAGTGAACCCTCCCTCCAAGCAATGACACGTGTACACACAGAGGACGTATTCCCTCCTTGCTTATTCATAGAACGAGAGACCGAGCTAGTAGTAGGACCAGAGCTAATCCCAAGTTTAATAAGTGAGAAAGCGACTGACAGAATAGAGGTACCCATACAGATAGACACACACAATTTATTGTTAAAGGAGATAGCATTTTGAGAAAAGATAGCTTCCCAGAAACTGAAGGCAGTGAAGCATTTGCCATGTTTCAAAGGTAAATATTAGTCAAGATTCCTATAGACTTACTCCTGGGAAGAGAGCTGATACAACAACAGGATTTAGAAGCAAAAATAATACAAATTATGAAGATAAAGCGGATAAAGGGTGTAGTTCTTCTATTAAATTTACAAGAGAGCATGTTCTAAGTACAATAGCTAGAGCTACTGGGAGAGAAATCAGAATAAAACCAGCTCTTAATATGCTTACAAAAGATAAATGTAAGAGCCAGAGAAATATGAGGTCTCACATCAGAAGAGTACTAATTTTTCTCATTCTCTAGTTAACCAAAAAGAAAGATATTATGATTGGAAAATAATGGAATAGTTAGTAAATATCATAAAGGAGAGTTGGATTACATTGAAACACAAGCCAACAAAGTATCATTTTCTCCTGCCTCCTTTTCTGAAACGACGGATGAGCAATACATTCCAAATACTTTGTATGGAAACTCTGCGGTGCAGGCAGTAAAGATTTCAGAATCTCATAGGAGTCTTCAAAGGTAAAATTTAAACTATCTCTAGAAATACCAAAAGCCAAGCCTTGATCAAGAGATACAATCTTGTCAAAGAAAATGAAGGCCAGAGACCTAAAGATCTCCAGGATATGGAATCTAGAGTTATAAAATCAAGTATCCTTATGCTTACATATAGAAATTCATTTTCAAAGGTTCTATGAAAAGAAATAATGTCTCTTTTATGAAAATGCTCAGCAAATTAGAAAGCAAACTTCATAAGCAAAACCAAAATTCACTTGAGGACTTGATGATTCAAAAGAGGAGATTAGTTGCTAATCAGAATAAGAGATTTAAAGGAATCAAAGTCAACCACAACACTCAAGGAAGAGAAGGAGAACAAAGTAAAATCCATCCTACTTAGACATTTATAGGCTATGTTGTCAGAGAAAGAATAAATACTGATATTGAAAAATATAAGAAAAGCTGACTCAAGAAGGGACTTACAATAAATGATAATTCAGGAAAAGTAGATCATTTACAATCTTATGACCCTGATCTTATTAACAATAATAAGACTCTTTTCAAATAAGAATACAGTTTCCACTGACAAATGTATCCAGAATGGTAAGATTGTTCTAAACTGTAAGAATTTAGCAGTTTAAGCTCTTCAAAATCATTCCGTAGGAATGATATAAAGAACGAAGGATCTTTGGATTCAGAAAATAATCAAGACGCTTCAGATAAGATAAATAGCAGGCTTAGTATCAGAATCGAGAATGCAAAAGTAATTGATGATATGTAATGTTAGAATTTATCTAAATAGACTGAAGCCAGAAAAATTGAGTGACGATAGTAATTGCAGTCGGAACAATAAACTAAGCAACAGTATTACCTGTTAAAACTTTAGGTGCAAAGTCAATTTCTGTCCTCAGCGCAAAATACAATAGCTGGACTAACAATAAGAGCACAAAGAAGAGGAATAAGCCATCTTCAACTTCAGCCAACTTTAAGAAGAATAAAAACAGCAAAATTCATTGAAATAAGAAAATAAACTCTACCAAAGGAGACCTTGATAACAAAGTTTATATACCTTTATTTTCCAATATTTCAAAGGATAAAGACAAGTTGGTTATTGGAGCTAATCCTACGCCAGCTAGAGACTGTAACAGCTCAGTCAATCCTAATCTCCAACCATCAGTAATCTTTGACTTAATATATAGAATCGAAAACTAATGGCTAATCCTCTTTCTTCAAGATATTGCTCTGATGCTTCTTTAACAAGGAAGAATTCTCCAAGAAAGAGGATGAATAGTTTTGATAACCAAAGAGCGAATGTAAGATATGAGTAATAATTTTAGAATATCGATCTTCCTGGAAGGTATAAACAATCAGCAAGCAAAGGTTGTAGTAGCTATAAGCCAGATGTAAATAAAAGATGCAATTAGATATCAATAGAATAGATTTGGTAAGGAAGTTGTTGAGGTGATATTGGGATGGGAAGAATACTAATTCTTTACTCTGCATCTAATTTTATGAGTAATAGCTCACCTTGGTTTAAAATATCCCTTTCCATCTCTTATCACTAGATCCTTTGAATCCCCTAACTATGTTTATAGCTTTCAAGAAGATCCATTGGTTTAATCACTGACAGTCATAATTCTTAAAATTTCAATTGAAATTATCTGTTTTGGGGTTTTGGGGTTTTGGGGTTTTGGGGTTTTGGGG